CCAAGGGGAAATTTCCCCCGCGGAACTGAGGGCCGCATTCCAGGGAGGCCTAGCACCGGGCCTAAGGATCGCCAGGTCACGGTGAAGGGGTGAGAGTCACGCAATCATGCTGGCCGGGGATCGCGCTGCGACGGAGTACAGGGGGAGGGCGGAGGCGCGGCTCGGGCGGTGGCGCGAGCCCCTGCACGCGTCGCGCGGGCGGGGAGGGAGAGGGAGGGGAGGGAGAGGGAGTGGCGGGGGGCGGGCTCAGCGGCGCGGGGCCCCGGCCCTCGCGTTGGGCGGCGGGCGCGGCAGGGCGTTGCACGCATATACCGTGGATCTCACTCGATCGGGGGGGGGCGGTTTTGTGCGCCAAGAGCGATCTGTCGAGAAGAGACGCTGTTCACAGCCTTGTTTTTCAGAAGAAAATACGTTTTGTGCGTTGGTCTGTGAGAGGTTGAGGTGCGAGCCCTGGAGGCCCTGGGGATTCACAGCACAAGCTTGTGCAGCGAAAAGCAGGCGTGCGGCAAGCGGAGCTCCCCACCGGCACGCGTGCGGGAGCGCCCCGACTCCGTCTGCCAGGTTGCGCTCGAAACGCGCAGCGAGGGAGACTCTCTCCCTCAGACAGCTGGACTGCGCCTTGGCCCCGAGGACGCGCGTAGACTATTATTAAAGCAAGCGGCGACTTGATCCTACCCACGGAACGTCGCCGCAAAGCATTTTATCTCCTGCGTTCGCATTTGGGCGGCCATCGCAACACTCCCTAGCTCTGAAGGTCCCGGGCGCGGACAACAAGCTGGAGAACTTCCTCCTCACCGTGTTGAGCTGCAACGAGATGACAGCGGCTTTGCGAGTCAATGTGCTCTGGAAGTACATCTTCTCCGAGCCGACGCGCTGGCGGCGGGCTTGGCGGCGGCGGGCTTGGGGCGGCGGGCTTGGCGGCGGGGGCGATGGCGGTGGTGGAGACGGTGGAGGGGGTGAGGGAGCGGGCGGCGGCGGGGGAGGTGGGCTCGGTGGGGGCGGCGACGGGGGAGGCGGGCTTGGCGGCGGCGGGCTTGGCGGCATGCCGACCTCGTACTGCGAGGGAAGCGGCAGCGACCGAGGAGGCGATGGTAAAGTGGGCTGCCGGCATGCCGGAGATGGCGACGCGGGCCTGCGCGCGATCGAAAGGGCTGTGGAGGCAGGCGGGAAGGGAGGCGGGCGGAGGGGGGAAGACGATCTGGAGGGGGGGAAGGGGGGGTGGGGGGAGGGAGGGGCGAGGGCGCCGCGGCCGGCACCTTCTCCGGACACGGCCCGCCGCCCTTCATGAGAGCTGAAGGAGTGCGTACACTCTACACACCCTCGAACCCTGTTGCGTGTTGGCTGTTTTGGGGCACCACAGTACGAGTACGTGCGGTGTACCTCACTCTCCTCACACAAGTCTGATGTAAGAAGAAAGATGTCCCGCAACTTGTAAACACGGACTGCAGTACGGCTCTACACATATGAGATATGTTGTCGCCGCGCCCGCGGGCTCTCTCTCACACAGCGTTTCTCTGGGGGGGCCGCGCTCGGTGGTACAAGAGTAGACTACTATTGCGAGGCGACCACCCACTCCAGGTAGGCTTGCCGCTCACCGGCCGAACGCAAGCCGTCCCACGCGAAGAACGGGACGCTGATCACCCGCCAGCCGGCCGCCGCGAGGAGGCGCCGCTTGAGGAGCGTGTGCCCGTTGGGTTTGCGCACACCCCGGCCGTCGGGCAGCAGGAAGTGAGTCGGGCCGTCCACCTCGATCGCGATGCGTGAAGAGGGCAGCGCCAGGTCGAGCGAGTAGCCGGTGCGCGGCTCGTCGTACTCCTCCTCGAAGCCGAAACGGACGGCGGCGAGGGCAGCCGCGACGGAGCGCTGCAGCGCCGAGACCCTCACTTGTGTATCGTGCATGGCGTCGCAGCAGAGCCGCCGCTCGGACTCGGAGAGAAGGTGCTGCTGCGCGTCTGCGGCGTGTTCCAAAAAGAGCCAGAGCTGCCACTGGTGCAGCTGACGGCGCTCATCGATGCCATAACCCGACGGACCCTCCCAAAGGGAGCCGCTGACCACGCGCGAGCACTCGGCGAACAGCAGCGCGTGGTACTGGTCTGCCGTCGCAAACGCCCACACCATGTTGGCCAGCGCCTGAGGCGTAAAGCCGGCCAGCCCGCCGCGCACCGCCGCCTCCGCCACCGCCGCGAACAGAGCGTCTGCAGCCACGCCCGCCGTCGCATACGCCCACACCGTGTTGGCCAGGTTCTGAGGGTTGAAGCCAGCCAGCCCGCCACGCACCGCCGCCTCCGCCACCGCCGCGTAGAGCGCGTCCGCAGCCACGCCCGCCGTCGCATACGCCCACACCGTGTTGGCCAGTTCCTGAGGCTTGAAGCCAGCCAGCCCGCTGCGCACCGCCGCCTCCGCCACCGCCGCGTACAGCGCGTCTGCAGCCACGCCCGCCGTCGCATACGCCCACACCGTGTTGGCCAGTTCCTGAGGCTTGAAGCCAGCCAGCCCGCTGCGCACCGCCGCCTCCGCCACCGCCGCGTACAGCGCGTCTGCAGCCACGCCCGCCGTCACATACGCCCACACCGTGTTGGCCATGTCCTGAGGGTTGAAGCCGGCCAGCCCGCCGCGCACCGCCGCCTCCGCCACCGCCGCGTACAGCGCGTCTGCAGCCACGCCCGCCTTCGCATACGCCCACGCCGTGTTGGACAGGTTCTGAGGCGTAAAGCCGGCCAGCCCGCCGCGCACCGCCTCCTCCGCCACCGCCGCGTACAGCGCGTCCGCAGCCACGCCCGCCGTCGCATACGCCCACACCGTGTTGGCCAGGTCCTGAGGGTTGAAGCCAGCCAGCCCGCCGCGCACCGCCGCCTCCGCCACCGCCGCGTACAGCGCGTCCGCAGCCACGCCCGCCGTCGCATACGCCCACACCGTGTTGGCCAGGTTCTGAGGGTTGAAGCCAGCCAGCCCGCCGCGCACCGCCGCCTCCGCCACCGCCTCGTAGAGCGCGTCCGCAGCCACGCCCGCCGTCGCATACGCCCACACCGTGTTGGCCATGTCCTGAGGGTTGAAGCCAGCCAGCCCGCCACGCACCGCCGCCTCCGCCACCGCTACGAACAACGGGTGCACCACCCTCGCCTGCAGGCCACACTTTGCAACGCCGTGAGACACGTTGGCCAGCTCGCGTGCTCGGCACGAAGAAACCAGGTCGAGCGTGCGCTGCACCAGCTGCTCAAGCCGCCCCTCGTGCCGCCGCTCGATGCGCTGCTTGCCCAGTTTGTTCCACAGGTTCGCAGCGTGGATGTGGTTCAAGCTCGCGCTGTGGGCAGCAAAGAGCCTGAGCAGCTCGTCGGCGCCGTTGGCATGCGAGATGTGGCCGTTGAGCTGCTTAGCATTGAGCTGACCGCCAGCAGCAGAGCTCTGTCGCTCGTCGCGCGATCCCGCACCGCGCACCGGCGGACTCAACCGGCGGTCGCTGTGCTGAGGCTGCCCCTCGCCCCGGCGGTCGCGCCGGTCATAGTCGCGCCTGGGATCGTGGTACCAATCGTCGCGCCGATCGTGCCAGTCGCGCTCGCGCTCGTCTCTGCACCGGCGGTCGTTGCAGCCGCGCCGCTCGTCGGACCAACGCTCGCGCTGCTCATCGCGCCGTCGCGGCTCATCGCGCCGTCGCGGCTCGTCCCTCCATCGCTGCCTGTCGCTTCCGCAGTCGCGCTGACGAGGCTCGCCGCGCCAGCGACCGTCCTCGCCGAACAGGGTCGCCTGCATGTGCGCAGCTGTGAGCGCTGTCAGAGCAGTGTTTCGACACCGATATCGTTCAAGGAGAACGCTAAAATCCGCTGTTCACATAAACGCACAACCCCGGGCCCGAAATCGCACACAGACAGTCAGACATTGCAACACGGGGTCCCAGGGAAGGCGAGCAAAAACTTTATCGTGCGCGCTAGACGCCGACTCGGAGGCCGCACCGGTCATGCGCGCAGCCGGAGAGAGAGGGAGGCGCTCAATCGCCGAACTCGGCGAGCGCCTCCAGCGTCTCCGCTTCGTACGCATCCTCCTCCCAGCAATTGAGCGCCTCCTCCACCCCCGCGCCCGCGCCCGCAGCGTCCGTGCCCGCGAGGATGGCAGCGACGCGCTCCCTCTGCCGAGCCTTCGCCTCCGCCTTCGCCTCCTGGGCGTCCGCCTCCATGACCCGCACCACCTGCTCCCTCCACACGGCGACCCGCCCGGCCAGCTGGAGGAAGGCGTCCGACGACAGCGGGAGCGCGCTCTCAGCCTGCGTGTTGCGCCTGGCCCTAGGGCCATTTCTGGCCCTGCGCGACCGCCGCAGCTCCAGCACGACGTACGTGTGGCGTTGCGGGCCAGGCTCGCGGTACACCAGCACCCCGTTCTCATCCGCGTATCCAGGCTCACCGGGACGGGCCTCGCTCCAGGCTGTGACCAGCCCGGAGGCTTTCACCTCCTCCCCGATCGCCTCGCCCTCAGCAACGAGCTCCGCCCGCCGTCGGGCCGCGCGCTTGGCCCGGAGTTCCACCGCCTCCGCCTCCGCCTCCGCCGCCTCCGCCGCCGCCGCCTGCAGCGCCGCCTCGGCATCTCTGCCGGGCGATGCCGCCACCACAGCAGTAGCAGCAGCAGCAGCAGCAGTTGGAGCAGCAGCCGCCGCTGCCGCCGCCGCCTCCGTCGCCGCCGCCGCCGCCTCTGCCGCCTCCTCCGCCGCCTCGACCGCCTCCGCCTCCGCCGCCTCCGCCTCCGCCGCCGCCGCCGCCACGGCCTCGCCGGGCGGTGCGGCCGCAGCCGCAGCTATGGCAGCAGCCGCAACAGAGGCAGCAGCAGCGGCAGAAGCAGCCATAGCCGCAGCCGCAGCCGCCATCGCCGTCGCGCGGTCGCTCAGTATCTTGAACGAGTCCCCACGATGAGCAGCGAGGCGAGGAATATCTCCTCGCTGCCGATCGTCGGGCCGATAAACTGCAGCATGAACATCTCCAATAGCACGAGCGTAGCGGGAAGAATGTGGTAGCTCACCCCTCGCTGTCGATGTCCCGGCGTTCCTCGGTTCGTCTTGATCTGATCCACCCGCGACTTCCGCCGCTGCCGCGAGCTCGGCAAGCTCCTCGAGCTCATCTGCCCACCGCTCCAGCGCCGCACTCTCCGCAAAAGCCTCGGCATGGCTTTTGCCGGAGCAGCCGCCGTTCACACTTCACAGGTAAGTGTAAGCGGAGCAGTTGAGTAGATACAGCCTGCCGGCCGTGTGATGCGAAAGGGTGTGGCTTCTCGACTGCTCGATCAAAAAGAGCGCCTTCGGCACTACTCTCTCGAGGTCTCGCGGATCTTATAAATCAGCCGAACGGCCAAGGGCAACCCCTCAAGACTAACTACTAAAACAAAGACGGGCAAGGGCAAGTACTAGCCCGGTCGAACACTGCCCAAACAAATAAATTCCCCCTTTGAGCTGAGAGGTCAGGTGTGCACTTTTTTTGCTTGGGCGGACCTGATGACGGGGTAGGTAGGGTAGGTCTGGGCCCTCCCGTCGGGGTTTTCCCTCTCTTCAAGCTGGAATTTTCACAGCAGAAAAAGAAATTTTCCGCGGAAATCACGATGTCAACCCTGAGGGCCCAACTTGAGATTTACTGAGTTACCGAGGTAAGGGGAATGATCAGAATGGCAAGGCTGGGAATGCGTTCTCAGAACGTTCAGAACACCGGCCGCTGGGCCCGCCTCCCGGAGCCTCTCTCTCGGTACTAGCAGCAGATAGGCACAGGGACAGTGACGCGGCTCATCAGTCCTCCCTCAGCCCGACCTCGGACGGAAGACTACAAAGGTCGCAGGAATGATCAGAACGGCATCCATCCAGGCGGCACCGGCCCTACGACTCGGACCGTGCCACAGCCCATCCCCCCGGGCAGCCCACCGCCCACCGCCCGGCCCCAGCCGGTCCGACCGCTTCACGCGGCGACGATCGCGCCGCCGGCCGCCGCTGGCAGGGCCGCCGCCTCCGTCGGCGCCAGAACAGGCTCGAGCAGCAGCCACAACTCGTACTCTGCCGACGGCGAGCCGTCGTACATCGACGACTCGAGTGAGAGGTCCGTCGCCGCGCCGTTGTCAACGTCGAACTTGGCGACGAAGTTGACGCGGTCACGCTCGATATAGCGGGTACACATGGTGCGGCGCGCATACTTGAGCACACCGTGGTTGGTGCAGTTGGCGCACGTGCCTGTGGGATAGGGCGCCATAGCGACGCGCGCGCTCCGGGTATTTTTCGGGTATACCTGAGAATTCTCGGGTATACCCGGGTTTTACTCGGCCGGCCACCTGGGTCGGTCCGAGGGTGTTCCAGGAATGATCAGAATGGCGAGGGCCAGAACGTGTTACATGTACTAGTCAGAACGGACCCCAGTTGCCGTTCCCGGCAACTCATCAGCTTGAGAATCGTGCTTTTTTGGGTTAGGGATGAAGGCGAAGGACCGATTACGGTGAAGGACCGCAGGTTAGGGACCGATCGCCGCCGCTCACGCCAGCGGACGGCCGTCGTCAGTGATGTTAGCTACACCACCGTCTACCTCGTGCGACATGCGCTCGCCGGCATCGAGCGAGCAACGTGTTCGACCGACCGGCTTGCTGTGTGGACGGCTTCTTGTGGCTCTCTCGTCGAGAGCGTTTTGCGTCCCGGCGGGTGGGAGAGCATGTGTCGTTTGATGTGTCACTGTGTACGTCATGTCAGTCTTGATAACAAGTACGGTCGATCCGTCAAAGCGATACACTCGTCACGATCACGTTGGACGGCTTGCACGGAGCTCTGTGCCGACAACCAGGAAGAGCCGTACGGCAAGAAGAGCTCGATGGGGAGCGAGAATCGCCAAAGGAGGTTTAGGTGGAACCTGAGTCCTCCGTGACGCGCTCAATCGCTCCCAAGCGGGTGGCTCTCGAAAATCGTCGATATCTTCCGAAAAGACTGCTCTTGCCGCAGAGCAGCCGACGCGATGCAGACGGAGGCGCAGAAAGGCTACGAGTACTCAACGAGTTCCGCGACCTACGCAGTCAAACCTGGGGGGAACTGACCGCATCAAGGCGGACTTCCGACACCTCCGTGAGCACCTTTGGCGATTCTCGCTCCCCATCGAGCTCTTCTTGCCGTCGGCTCTTCCTTTGTGCCGGCACAGAGCTCCGTGCAAGCCGTCCAACGTGATCGTGACGAGTGTATCGCTTTGACGGATCGACCGTACTTGTTATCAAGACTGACATGACGTACACAGTGACACATCAAACGACACATGCTCTCCCACCCGCCGGGACGCAAAACGCTCTCGACGAGAGCCACAAGAAGGCGTCCGCACAGCAAGCCGCTCCTCGGAGAGGCGAGCTCGCTCGATGTCGGCGAGCGCATTGCGCACGCTTTGGACGGTGGCGAAGCCAAAAACACAGATGGTGGCCGTCCGCTGGCGTGAGCGGTGGCGATCGGTCCCTAACCTGTCGCTCGCGGTCCCTATAAACCCAAAAGTGGTCCTTCGCGCTTTGGTCCCTCCAAAAAAGCACGATTCTCAAGTTGGGCCCTCGCCCCCCCGATGAACACACCAGTGAGGGAGGGCGAGACGATCGAGGGGTCCCGTACCATGCGGAATCGACCCTATCCGGTGCTCAAGAATGTGGGGGATGTTGAGGAGGAAGGTTCCGAGAAGAGACTCTCGCAGTGTCGGAGACGCGGAGGTGGTCGGAGCATGCTCAGCGGGGTCGTCCTTCTCTACGCGGCGCACGCTGTCGTGGCGCTGGCGCCTGCTCGGGCTACGGCCACGGCTAGGCACGCCTCCGTCCATGCACAGAGCGAGCCGGCGGCGGCGGCTCGCGAGCCGATCGCCTACTACCGCGACCCGGACGACGCGTACTTTGAGAAGCTCGCGAAGCTGCCTCCGGTCGACGAGGCCGCGGTGGACGCTCTGGTGGCCGAGCGCTCGCGGCTGCGCGCCGCTTTTGAGTACGACGCCGCCGACGCCGTCAAGGCGCAGATCCTGGCGCTCGGCGTCACGGTGGTGGACGTGCGCGGGCAGGAGGCGTGGTACGTCACGCCGCGCCACTCGCGCACGCTCGAGGCGGCCGAGGCGGCCGAGGTGGAGGAGGGGCGGGCGGCGTCGGCGTCGCCGCGGCGGAAAGGCGGGCGCGACCTCGGCCCGCGCGGGCACGACTTCGAGCGGTCGGGCGGCGGGGCCAAGGGCAAGGCGGGGCAGGTCTCGCTAGGGGAGGTGGGCCGGCGGCTTCACGACCCGAGATCCGCTGATCGTATCCGAGATCAGCCGGGATCATTGGAGATAGGTGGACCGGCGGCTCGCGGCGCGTCTCGCCGCCAAGCTGCGCGGCAGGTACTCCGACGCAGACGCGGAGCTCGAGGCGCTCGAGAGTCGCCGAGAGTCGCCGAGAGCTGCGCATTCGGAGCAAGCCGTCGGCCCGACCCTTCCACGGCGTCTCTTCGCGGCGTCCCTTCACGGCGGGGCGTGGTGTGAACAGGCGCTCGAGGCGCTGGGCATACGAGTGTGCGACGCGACCAAGCGGTGGCGCGCGGACGGCGAGGCGTTTGGCAGCGGCTACGAGCGCACAGTCGGCGACGGCGACGAGGACGTGCCGGCGCTCGACTCTAGATGCGGAAGGGGGCGTGGAGCTAGGTATGGGACATGGACACGCCGTGGGACACGTCGTCTAGATGCGGAAGCGGGCGTGTGTCCGTCTTCCGACTGCACGCGAGGCGGCACGTGGTCGGCAGCAGCCGGCCACGTCGCACCCGTGCCTCACTCGCAGCTCTTGTGCTCCCTCGAGCCGCAGTCCCGCACACAGTGGACAGTGTGGTGCACTTCTCCCCATATCTCCCCATATCTCCCCATATCTCCCCATATCTCCCCATGGACGGTGTGGTGCACTTCTCCCCCCTCCCGACAAGAGCACACACACACACCAACTTTGTTGCCGCCGATGTCGTGGCGCATGCGCCCCCCTCCCCCCCAGCCCCCTCGCCGCCGCCCCCCTCGCCCCCAGCCCCCTCGCCGCCGTCCCTGCCGCCCCCGTCGCAGCCCGCCCCGTCTCCCGCCGCGCGCCACCTCCGGTGCGGCCTCCGAGTCCCCCTCCCTCCCCCCCGTCCATGCCCTGCTTCCTCCGACAGGCGCTCGACACGGCCCCCATCGAGCAGCTGCTGCTTGCGAGGGCGCGCGCCAAGCAGGCGCGCGACTTTGGCAAAGCGGACGCGCTGCGGGGCGAGCATCGAGCAGCGGCCACCCTCCAAAGACGAGACCGGTCGAGCGCGCCGCAAACACACGGGCGCGAATAGGCGAGCTGCGCGCGGCCCACTCGGTGATCGTCGACGACCAGCGGCGCGCGTGGCGGCGGGTGCGGTTGTACGGCGACTATTACCGCGTCGGCCCGCGCGTGGGCAAGGCGGAGCCAAAGATCGGGAAGCTGCTCACCACGCTCTCCCAGGCGGCGAGCGGAGAGAGGGCGGCGCTGCTCGAGGAGCTCGGCGCGATGGGCGTGCAGGTCGACGAGGGGCGCGGGACGTGGCGCCGGCCTCGGCGCACGCCGGAGGAGCTCGCCGCGGCGGCGGCGCTGCGGCGGGAGGCGGAGAGCAAGTAGACCTGTGTCTGGCTGCTGGCTCGCGGGCGTCGCGAAAAAAGAAAGAGAACGCCGCCGCCGCGTTAAAGAAAGAAAGAAAACACAAAAACGGGAGGGTTCAAGAACCACTGTCGCAGGGTTATCATAACCCTGCTACACCGTGACTGTGAGCGCTGTCAGAGCGGTGTTTCGACACCGATATCGTTCAAGGAGAACGCTGATTCAAAATCCGCTGTTCACACTTCACAGGTAAGTGTAAGCGGAGCAGTTGAGTAGATACAGCGA